GGGGAGCGGGGCCGGGCAGGGGGAGCTCGGAGCCGGGAGGACCGGCCGGTAACGCGCGGAGCTGCTGGTTCTGCGCTGGGGGGAAAGAGCCGCGCGGTAACCGCGGGAGGGGCCGTGCCCGGCGCAGCTGTTGGCGGCTCCTGCGGGGAGCAGTTACTGCAGCCAGGCTGAAAAAGCACAGGGTTTGGGGTCCGGGCTGTGATTGTAAGTGATTTTTGCTTTAATTTCAAAGGCTACCAGGTGACGGGCGTGTTCATGAAGAACTGGGACGCGCTGGACGAGCAAGGGGCTTGTTCCATCGACAGAGACTGCGAAGACGCCTACCGGGTTTGTCAGAAGCTCGATATTCCTTTTCACCAAGTTTCCTACGTGAAGGAGTACTGGAATGAAGTATTCAGGTAGAAGCACGTTTAAAATGGTCTTTGATTGAAGGTGGTCTTTCAGGATATTCGTGTGAAGAGCAAGGATGGGCAGATAATGACAATTTGTTGCAGTGTTATCAGTGCTAAGAGAAAGTACTGAGGCCTGTTAGACGTCGGAGGAGGTTGTTTTCCTCCTCTCATTCATATTTAAGATCAGAATTTATGTTAGTTTTAATATGTTCCTTATTTTTTAAATGAATAGGAGTTTTCTCTCTGGTTATTACGAGTGTGTAGCAATTACTTTGTTGTGGCTCATTTCTTCTGTTCCCCATGTACTGGCCCAATCTTATTTAACTTGAGGAAAAATACGTATTGCTGTGCTGTTATTGTCTGTATGTGCAATTTATGCAGTGCATTTTACATTAATACATACTGAATCCAGTTTACTGTCCTTTTTTCCCTCCTGGTATCAGAGAGTGAATAAATGTTACCAAAACTCTTGAAAGGTGTGGGGTTTCTGGAAATGACAGTGAATCAGAGATCATGGAAGATCAGCTTTTATTTTGCTTCTCATAGTTTAGCAGTACAGTGTTCCCAAACATCTGTTGCGAGTGTCATGGTTTGTTTCAGAACCCTTTTAGTGTCATCACTGACCTTGAGCTTGCTTGAATTACCCTCCTCTGAATCTCTCTTTGAAGGGTTATTCATCAAAACACACCTTTTCTCAAGAGGACTCCTCCAAGTCTTGTCTTTCCCATTGTTTGTGCAGAGTCTTTCTCAGAGAGGGATTCCGTAGGCATCCTTCATTGCTTTTTTTCTGGTTCTTTGAAGTCCTGAGCTGATGTGAGCCTGGCTTTCAATGCTCAGTCTGTTCAAAAGCTTCTCGTGTGCTCCTGCAGTGGTTCCTCTTGCAGCGTTAGCACAGCCTTGTGTTACCGCGCTGAGCCAGCAGGAGGGAGGCAGCTCTGGGTAGGCCCAGATGATTTAATTATTAGTATGAATTATTCAATTCAGAGCTGTTAAAAACGAGCTAGACAAAAGATGTGTTGCTTTACTTGCTGTTTTAGATGGTGGAAAGTAAAACCAAGTACTGGGTTTGCTTGTGTTTTAAATTCAGTTTATGCCCTCAGTTCCTCTTGCCTTCAGTGATGACTGAGGACAAGCAAAACGTGATCTTTTGATGTCTCAGTGCATCACTGTGTGCTGGCTTAATTTAATTAGTTATTAATGCAATGCTTTAAAGGAAATAATGCTAAATGCTTCAATTGCACCGCAGTGTAAAACTACAACAAAACTTTGAAAAACCCCTTGGATTTCTTGAAGGAAAAAGGAAAAAAAGCCCTATAAAATTAAGCCCCATGACTTCATGGTGGCATTAACGCAGATTAAGTTACTGTCCCTTCAGCTGAGACACAGTATCTCCTGGTATGAACTTCCTTGCACTGTCACTTTGAAAAATTAAATGGGTTGTTTAATTCTGGAAGTAAGTATTTGGTAAGAGATGAGTAGGACATGCACAGTGAGCAGCCAAGTGTCACCCAAGGAGTATTAATTTAATAAAACATGGTTACAAGATTGTGAGTGATCATTTGACTGTGTTCTCAGTGTGCTTTGGAAAAAAATCTTCCAAGCATTATTTTTTACAGGTTAATATTTAATAGGTATTTAATTTATTACATAAAATGCTTGATATGACTGTGTCTTTAGTTCTCATGTTTAAATAGATCTTTCAGTCTTGGATAGTATCATACAGTGTTAATAATGTTGATGCACATTTGAATCTTTATTTTACAGTGACTTCTTAAAAGAGTATGAATTGGGAAGGACTCCTAATCCTGATATTGTGTGTAACAAGCACATCAAATTCAACTACTTCCTTCGTTATGCTATGGATAACCTTGGTAAGGCATTTTCAAGTCTGTCAGTACAGAGTGTGTGCCATGGAAATGGTTTAAGGATGTAAACTTCTGAAAAAGTGGGGAAACACACGAGTTCATACGTATGCCTAATTCCCATATCTCTGTAGCAGTATTTCAGTATTTGCAAAGTATTGGCTTTTAAGTTTGCTTTTACATGTAGAATCATAGAATGGTTTGGGTTGGAAAGGACCTTTAAGGGTCATCCAGTCCAACCCACTTCCATGGGCAGGGACATCATCCACTAGATCAGGTTGCTCATATGTAGGAACACATTTAACGTAGGGGGCATGCTTTGACCTGACCATGAAGTTTTACATTTTTCCTACTGGATGTTTATAATCCTGTTTTAAACTGTGAATTTTAAGTATGTGCCTTTGTGATTTGCTTTTTTTTTTTTCTTGATAGGAGCAGATGCAATTGCTACTGGGCATTATGCTAGGACCTCACTGGAGGATGAGGAAGTGTTTCAACAGAAACATATTAAAAGACCACAAAGGCTTTTCAGAAACCGTTTTGAAGTTAGAAATAGTAAGTGGTTTCTTTATTTCATATTTCAGCATAGATATGTAAAGAGAAATTTAAACTATATTTGGTGTCACAGAATCAGGGAAGTTTATTACCTT